ATAGGATAAGAAGGGTATACACACCTACGCTCATATGAAAATGGTCAGGGTTAATAAGTGAATAGTTAACAAGGTGAAACCATGACTCAAGATGGATAGGTCAATTGACTTGTCCAGAAGTTAGAATAAGGCATATGGGCTTAACATAACGGCAGATACTACAATGTTATTACACTGTTTTGGTTCATTCACCACAGATAGTGTGGTACAGTATAAATGTTCAGTGATATTTTATCCTTTTCATTGACGTGATGGAACATATACATTCAGCTATAGAGGATATTGTCTTAACTCTTCACCTATTCAATTCACTTGACCAATAGACAACGGTAATTAGTACACACACGTCACACAACAACAACAACACTGAAAACAGGAGATGAAAACAATTAACAGGAAATCCGAATCATTGTCACTCGACTATCTACACTGTACTATCACATACACAAATATGAATGGTTTACAATAGATCAATGACAGTAACATATGATTTACTATCAAGAAGATTGCAACATGCTTTCAGAGTATACTGAAATACACACTGCACATTGTAAAGCACACATTAAATAAGAATTCATCAGAACTTAAACGGTAACCCAATATGAAAGAAGATGACTGATTAACTTCATCTTATACTAGGCTCTAAATTTATATGGTCATTCAACTAAACATTCAATAAGTAGTTGACATTGAGATAATTTAGAAGTATCTGCAAACTGTAACCCAATATCAAAGAAGATGCTGATTAACACATGATTGTTTCACGGTCAATTGAATATTGACAAATGGTCATATCCATGACTTGTTCTATTTACTTTCAGTACTTACTAATCACACTATTAGGCAGATGACGAACGATGGTACGTTCATTGAGGTATTATTGTATGTTTTGGTAACTAGAGGTCCTACATGTATCATAAAATATTAGAATATCAAGAAAAAGGAAATGTCATCCAACAACATCTATTAGATACGTTTAGATGGGTTCATCCTGTGATGACCAAATCTAAACATTATATTAGCAAAAAGATTACCACGATAATGACCGTTAAAATAGATCAACAACAAAGGAAATAAACAGGATAACACTTAATTATGAGTAGGGTGAGTTGTAAGAATCTGAGCACAGAGTCCAATCACAATGAGTCCATACAATCAATGGTAGTACAGAAAAAAGATTGAATGCCAACGATGCTTTAAGTAATTTATATCTCACAACACTGTTGATTCTGCAATGTTGAACAATTCCTACACACACTGTACAGTGGAAAATTGAGAAGAATATTCGTAGATTCAACCTGTAAGTAGACAATCATTTGAATCGATCTTCTAATTCCTCCACAATTATTGTCCATTCTTTTATTCTACATTCGCATTTAAAAACCGATTTTTTTCACTTGAAAAATCTGCACTGTATTACTTTATAAGTAAATAATAATAGGGAAGGCTCAGGACAGAGTTAGATGGAGAATGCTGGTGAGCGGCCTATGCTCCTCGACGAGGGGTAACAGGCGTAAGTAAGTAAGTAAATAATTGTTTCCATCTTCCAAGTAGACAAATACAATCCGTGAAATAGGTGAACTCACATTTTTCTGCTATGGTTGACATTCATTATCTGTTTCAAAAGATACTCATCGTATAGATGTCTTCCACCTTGCAGCTTCTAAAGTACAGAGTCTCGTCTACACACAATAACTCACATCAAAGACAAACAGAAACCAACCAGACGCCTATCTTTATGCTCTTTGGACGTCAGCCAGATGTAGCCGACTGTCCAGTGGTCAAATATTATGTCCCCGGAATGTCTTGATCGCCATTCCGCCCGGCAGGTAAACCGGTCACCATTAGGTGGGAACCCTTTTTATAATGCCCAGCGTGACAAGAAGAAGGCTGGTATCTTTTTCATACGTAATACCGAATACACAATTTTATTATGATTAAATTCCTTTGACTTCATATCAAAATAAGTTAGAAAAATATTAAGTATGTATATATTCTAACCAAAATTTTGCAAGGAAAACTACTTTTCTTTCAATCCAACCTCGAATTATTAACTTATATTATTAGTAATTGTAAATATACTACTTATATTGGTGACAACGTTATCAGTAGTGTAGTGACTCTTGTATCAGAAAACTAGTCGAATTTTCTTAATATTTTACGCCTTTTCATGCGTTCAGATCACTTTTTCGAGATGATTGTTTACCTTTGTCTTGTTCAACTTCCAGTCACCGAATATTTGTGTGAGGGACATCGACAGTAATCATCACCGCCTCGCTTGGGGAGAGGATGTCTATGCTACCAAAAATGATGATATAATTGTATCTTCTATTTGTTTTCTTTGTCGTCTTGTTGGTCATCTATATTATACATGTATCTTTTCTCAATAATCTATCCCAGAAGCGAATCGGAATCGGGAATAAATCAAGTGATGTTCCGGTTGACTCGTATTTTCTCTCTCTGTCGTGCACGCTTGCCAGCCAATTAGGTGGTAGCATAGACTTCCTCTCCCCAAGCGAGGCGGTGATGATTACTGTCGATGTCCCTCACACAAATATTCGGTGACTGGAAGTTGAACAAGACAAAGGTAAACAATCATCTCGAAAAAGTGATCTGAACGCATGAAAAGGCGTAAAATATTAAGAAAATTCGACTAGTTTTCTGATACAAGAGTCACTACACTACTGATAACGTTGTCACCAATATAAGTAGTATATTTACAATTACTAATAATATAAGTTAATAATTCGAGGTTGGATTGAAAGAAAAGTAGTTTTCCTTGCAAAATTTTGGTTAGAATATATACATACTTAATATTTTTCTAACTTATTTTGATATGAAGTCAAAGGAATTTAATCATAATAAAATTGTGTATTCGGTATTACGTATGAAAAAGATACCAGCCTTCTTCTTGTCACGCTGGGCATTATAAAAAGGGTTCCCACCTAATGGTGACCGGTTTACCTGCCGGGCGGAATGGCGATCAAGACATTCCGGGGACATAATATTTGACCACTGGACAGTCGGCTACATCTGGCTGACGTCCAAAGAGCATGAAGATAGGCGTCTGGTTGGTTTCTGTTTGTCTTTGATGTGAGTTATTGTGTGTAGACGAGACTCTGTACTTTAGAAGCTGCAAGGTGGAAGACATCTATACGATGAGTATCTTTTGAAACAGATAATGAATGTCAACCATAGCAGAAAAATGTGAGTTCACCTATTTCACGGATTGTATTTGTCTACTTGGAAGATGGAAACAATTATTTACTTACTTACTTACGCCTGTTACCCCTCGTCGAGGAGCATAGGCCGCTCACCAGCATTCTCCATCTAACTCTGTCCTGAGCCTTCCCTATTATTATTTACTTATAAAGTAATACAGTGCAGATTTTTCAAGTGAGAAAAATCGGTTTTTAAATGCGAATGTAGAATAAAAGAATGGACAATAATTGTGGAGGAATTAGAAGATCGATTCAAATGATTGTCTACTTACAGGTTGAATCTACGAATATTCTTCTCAATTTTCCACTGTACAGTGTGTGTAGGAATTGTTCAACATTGCAGAATCAACAGTGTTGTGAGATATAAATTACTTAAAGCATCGTTGGCATTCAATCTTTTTTCTGTACTACCATTGATTGTATGGACTCATTGTGATTGGACTCTGTGCTCAGATTCTTACAACTCACCCTACTCATAATTAAGTGTTATCCTGTTTATTTCCTTTGTTGTTGATCTATTTTAACGGTCATTATCGTGGTAATCTTTTTGCTAATATAATGTTTAGATTTGGTCATCACAGGATGAACCCATCTAAACGTATCTAATAGATGTTGTTGGATGACATTTCCTTTTTCTTGATATTCTAATATTTTATGATACATGTAGGACCTCTAGTTACCAAAACATACAATAATACCTCAATGAACGTACCATCGTTCGTCATCTGCCTAATAGTGTGATTAGTAAGTACTGAAAGTAAATAGAACAAGTCATGGATATGACCATTTGTCAATATTCAATTGACCGTGAAACAATCATGTGTTAATCAGCATCTTCTTTGATATTGGGTTACAGTTTGCAGATACTTCTAAATTATCTCAATGTCAACTACTTATTGAATGTTTAGTTGAATGACCATATAAATTTAGAGCCTAGTATAAGATGAAGTTAATCAGTCATCTTCTTTCATATTGGGTTACCGTTTAAGTTCTGATGAATTCTTATTTAATGTGTGCTTTACAATGTGCAGTGTGTATTTCAGTATACTCTGAAAGCATGTTGCAATCTTCTTGATAGTAAATCATATGTTACTGTCATTGATCTATTGTAAACCATTCATATTTGTGTATGTGATAGTACAGTGTAGATAGTCGAGTGACAATGATTCGGATTTCCTGTTAATTGTTTTCATCTCCTGTTTTCAGTGTTGTTGTTGTTGTGTGACGTGTGTGTACTAATTACCGTTGTCTATTGGTCAAGTGAATTGAATAGGTGAAGAGTTAAGACAATATCCTCTATAGCTGAATGTTTATGTTCCATCACTTCAATGGAACTCAGTAGCTAAGTTGATAACGTAATGGCGTTTGTATTGAACAGTACTGTGTTCGAATCCCAGAGTGATCATCAACTCTGAGATGCAGATACATCCAGATGACGAATCCCAAAAGGGACGAAACGTGCGACCTGGATTCCACTATCCTTCTTTGCTTATAATTATGTGATTACAATTATTATTATTATTATTATTATTATTATTATTATTAGTAGTAGTAGTAGTAGTAGTAGTAGTAGTAACCAGGGTACAATTGTATCATGGATAATATTCAACGAATCTGAACTACATCATCAAATGGTATAGTTAGAGATATAATCTTAAAGAAAACCCCTTTATCTTCCTAATAAAAATGATTCCTTTCAGTCAACAACCAAACATGGTGGAAACTATGTTTTGAGGGGTGGGAAATAGTTTGTTTTTAATTATTAGAAGAGAACATTTTATATAATGAGATACGTTTATTAATTCAATCATATAAATTATTGAAATGAATGTTAGTTGATATGTCAAAACATTCTCTAGAGAAACATGGTTTCGTTTAATGGTTGATTTATAGTATCGGTATTTCATGAGAGATCATTTAACCAAGTTTTAAGAAATTGACTGAGTTGAGAAGCCTGAAATGAAATGAAGAGATTTTCAAAATTAATTGACAAATAAATGAATTGATCTATTTATTCAATCGACTGAATCAATATTATGAGAAAGGAGAAACATTGACCAGTTGAGTTCAACTGAGTCTGTAGTGAGATATTAAATCATTGAAGACAATGGTGGATGGTGGGGCAATTTAGTTGATTTGTTGAAGTTAGACATGAACAGTGTTGGATGCTGGCTACGTGGTCTAGATTTTATGGGTTTGCGCGCGAGACCAATAGGTTTTGGGTTTGAATCATGGGGACAAGATCGTGTATGCGCACTACTGATGAGTCTCACATTAGGACAAATCAGCCGTCTGGTGCTTCCAGATTTTTCATGATAGTCTATCTTTAATTGACTCATGAATTTATCTATTAAATTACTATATTGTCCACAAAACCCCTTTCTGAATCAATATTGCAAACATAGTTTAGCTACTTACTGAGAACAAGTAGTACAATTGATTTTGGTAGTATTTTTAACATGTCCAACAAGTGCCCTCCACAATCATTGTAAGCAAAGACTCGCAGTTGAATCCAGTTTGACACGCGTTTCGTCCTAGTTGGGACTAGTCACCTGGATTACTGATCAGTTTCAGCCCTAAACATCAATGGGAAGATTCAAACAAGTAATACTAAGTGAATTTACCCTTCACAATCTTCGAAAATCAGAAATTCTGTAATGTATTCATACTGAAATAATCCTAGAAACTTTACCGGTTACTTTTTATCTCGCTATTGAATCTATGCTTCTCCGATTGCCGGTGTGAGGAATCGAGGTTACTTGAGGTTTTTATTTAGAGTGTAAGATATATATATTGACAGCATCTTTATGTTCGATAAGTCTATCCATGTATGAATAGATTATCAAGTGGAATGTTATCGATGTACAGTTTTTAGGATAAAATGTTGATGATGTCTGGAGAAGCCTGATGGAAATCAATATTTCTGACGCATAATCATTGTTATGATTATGTTTTAGGATAATTCATTACTGGGTACTATAAACTGAAACAGGTAAGGTTCAGTCATTTGAGAAGTAAGATAATCATTAGCTACACTGCTATGAAATGATACACAACATCGTTAATCGATGGGATTTAAATATTTGGATCTTGGGATATCATCACATCCATCTAAAATTGTAGGTTTTACCAGAGGATTTGAAGTTTTGAACTTCAGTCGACGGTTGTAAATTTAGTCGATACTTTTAAAAAAGTCTCTACTGAGATGAAGCATTTGTTGACTATCTTCATGTTTCCTGTGTTTTTCTACATTAAATTAGTCTATGATTTAGACTATATTCAAATGGGTATAACTGTAGTGAACAGAACACGTGTGGGGACAACCGAATGCATTTAATCACATTAAACTCTGATAACCATACAATCAACAGTTAATTTGCAAACTATCAATCAATTGTCTTAATGTTGAATGTTCCTTCTGTAAATATCAGTTAATCTTCTCTGATTTCATTGTTCATGCATTTTCGTACCAATTGCGCTTCAATTCTGTTTGTTCCTTATCAATCTTCTGCCAAAATATATTCTATATCTGACCATCACCATATACTACTTATGTGGATATCAGTAATCCACATCACATAACCACTATCAACATCTTATTTTAATGTTACAATTTCGTTAAAGTTCAGTTATATCTTGTTTCCTTAGGGGTTGACGATTCGAAGAATTTTCCAGTCCATTCAAGTAATTTACTTAGCATTGTTTGTTTGGATTTTCCCATTGATGTTTTTAAGACTGCAACTGGTCAGTCTCTAATTGACATATGTGCATACTGTACGTATTGCCTGGATATAACCTTAATTCACAAGCATTGTAAGCAAAAATGGATAGTGGTCAGTAGTGGAATCCAGTTTGACGTGCGTTTCGTCCTACTTGGGTCTCGTCAGCTTGATGTAGCTGCATCTCAGAGTTGATGTTCACTCTGGAACTCGAACGCAGTAACTTTCGCATCAAACGCCATCGCGTTATCCACTCAGCCACTGAGTCCTCACTAAAATTTGATAACCATACAGCAAAGAGTTAATTTGCAAAATAACAATCAATTGTCTCAATCTTCACTGTTCCTTCTGTAAATATCAATCCATCGTCTCTGATATCATAGTTTATGCATTTTCATACAGATTGTGCGTTGTTCCTATTCTTTCCTTATTCATCTGCCAAAATATATTCTATGTCTGACCACCACCATATACTACTTATATGGATATAAGTAACCCACACTACATAACCACTATCAAAATCTTATCTAAATATTACAATTTTGTTGAAGTTCAGTTACATCTTATTTTCTTAAGAGTTGAGGGTTTCAAGGATTTTCCAGTCCATTCAAGTAATTGTTTTCTTTGGCAAAAATTATATCCAATCATTATCTGTATTGTTTATAAGTATCAATTATGAATACATATTATTGAACACTTGATCGATACTTCTGTCGATTTTTGGTATAGATCAGAAGGGGTTTTGTGGAGATTTCAATATTTTCATAGTTGAAATCATGAGCCGATTGAAGCTAGACCACCATGGAAAACCTGGAAACACTGGACGGCTGCTTTTTGGTATGTCAATCTATATATCTACTTATTTTGTCCACTATTGTTCTAGATGAAGAGGATATTAAGAAAAGACGTTGGAAGTGGATAAGACATACATTAAAGAAATCATCAAACTCCATCACGAGGCAAATTCTAACTTGGAATCCTGAAGGGAAGCGGAAAAGAAGAAGGCCAAAGAATACATTACGTCGGGAAATAGAAGCAGATATGAAAAAGATGAATGTTAACTGGAAATATCTGGGACGGATTGCCGAGGATAGAGTTGGGTCGAGAATACTGTTGGGAGGCCTATGCTCCTCCACGAAGGGTAACAGGTGTAAATAAGTATGTAAGTTAGAATTTTGTCAAATATCATCATCATATACAATATAGAGGTATTTCTGAGTATCTTGATGCATCAACTGAATTAAAATTTTGCAAAATACAAAATGTATACACTTTAAATAATTTCTTACCTGTTCTGATTTTGTTGATGATGAATAAGGGAGATCTACTAAAGTGTATACATGAACTGTACCTTGATCATCACCTATCAGGATACTCTTGAAATCAGAAAAAAAAATAAAATTTTTTTTACATCAACTAGAATGAATTGAAGTTACATAGAAAAAAGAGTTGGATTCTAGATCATTAGTCTAAAGAATAAACATTTAACTAACTTAGAAGAGTTCGACCCCTAAATGCCCTGGTACGGCTGAGATTGGGGAGAGTCCTCTCTCCCTCTCCAAATGCCATTCGTATAAAGCCCCTGTCAGGGAAGTCCTACTCACTGCCTTCTCACAGTGGCGGGGATGTTGTTCACGAAATTGAAGGGACGAAAAGCGAATGTCCAGTGCTTTAACCGGGTTGGTGGATATGGAGGATCTACGCTGATTCCAAACCAATGGTGCACATGGGCTAACTCCAGTATCCTTAGGGAACAAATGGCGTATGAATCAATAGTTGGTCACCGGCTACCATGGGACTGAATCTTCTCACGATGCTCCACTGCCTTGTGTGTTAGACCTTGAGGTCAAAGGCTCGGGGTGTGGCCCCCTAAGGAAACCACCTGCTTCAGTTTGGCCAACTGGGCAGTATCACAGCCCTCACACAAATCAAATGAGATTTGTGTGGTTCATGTATATTTGCTGCCCCCTTGTACCAATATTTATGTGTTTAAATAAAGAAAGAAAGAAAAGTTCGTGACATAAATGAAATATTTAACTGGAAAATTGAGAAATTCTAGAAAGATTCCCATATCATAATATAAACATAATGTGATCTATCTAGTATCACTAATCTCTTAGATATAGTTACCAGTTGGAAAAAATTCTTCAATCGATTTGATTCTATTATATCATTGTTGAAAGCGTGAGTCAATTGAAGCTAGACCACCATGGAAAAAAGGTTCGTGGATGCGCACTGTTGAGCAGTCCCATAATAGGACGAAACGGCCGTCCAGTGTTTCCAGGTTTTCCATGGTGGTCTAGCTTCAACTGACTCACGCTTTCAACAATGATAAATACTAAATCTCCACAAAACCCCTTCTATAATTAATATAATAATATGCTCACTAGTGATTTCGAGAAGTATATCTAGGAGCTCTAGTGAAAAGCAGTGACCAGTGGAGTTCAAAACCACGTCTGTTGTGAGATAGGAACTCACTGAAGACAATTGGTGAATGGTTGCTCAACTTCGTGGATCAGTTGAAGTTAGACATTAACACCGTTGGATGCCAGCTCAATGGTCTATCGGTTAAGGGCTTCAGCTCGAGACTGGTAGGTCCTGGGTTCGAATCTCGCTCGCGAGAGCAGGTTCGTGGATGCGCACTGTTGAGCAGTCCCATAATAGGACGAAACGGCCGTCCAGTGTTTCCAGGTTTTCCATGGTGGTCTAGCTTCAATTGACTCACGCTTTCAACAATGATAAATACTAAATCTCCACAAAACCCCTCCTATTATATCAAACAGTTTTGTTGATGAAAATGATCACATGTTAACCTAAACAGTACATCTCAATTCCCTATAACCGGAGAGCTAGACACTGCTTAGGCTTAATCCGAATAGTACAGTTCAATTCCATTTAAATAAAGCCAGAACAAATATTGATGCAGAATAATATGAATTCATTATATTTCGTGATTTCTCATCATCAGCTGTTTACAACCAAATATGCATTAGAGTTTTTAACATTGGGGTAATAAATAGAATGGAACAATTGACATAAGTGGAATGTAAAGGATTGAAATAATAAAAGTTCATCAATGATAACTACATACTTATATATGTGTGCAAGAAAAGGTCAGAGGTTATTAGGTATTAGAATGAAGGAAGCATAAAGGATGGGTGGTGTAATTGTTGAGTGGAGTTCAAAGACAGATAAGATCAAATGTGTGATAATTTTAGAGGTAATGAAGGAGTCACGGTATTAAAAACAATTAGGATGGATTACGTAATAATTCAATAGAATCTGGAGAGTTCACACTATTTATTACCCCAATGTTAAAAACTCTAATCCATATTTGGTTGTAAACAGCTGATGATGAGAAACCATGAAATATAATGAATTCATATTATTCTGCATCAATATTTGTTCTATCTTTATTTAAATTCATAAAGGGAACTAACTATATGAAACATCAATCCCATTTGCAGGAAAGCGAAACACCATCCATACTTAAACTTTATAATCCGAGCCCTACAGTTCAACCTAGCTTCACAGGAGAACCAGACACCATATAGACTTTAACGTTATAATTTGAATAATATGGCTCAATGCTGTGGCGCGACCATACAGGTACCCAGCACCCTGGTGGATCAAGTCGTCACCATTGGATCGAATGAGTATTATGGAGAAGTAGAGATCCAATGATTGAGATCCAGATAATAATTATAATCAGTGATAATTAAAAATTCCAAATGAAATGAGTTAAAAGTCGATAGAAGTAGTGCTGAAGTAGTTAATCTATATCTATCTATACAGTTTTAACAAGAGGATAGTTTCAGTCATTTCATTTACTACTGGTCTTCTTGGTACTACTATGACCTAACTATTACACAAGGGATTCATTTGTCTCAATTCATTAAACATTTTGTTTATTTAAAAGTTGGGAAATATTTTTTTGGGTGGGGGGTAGGATTTTGATGAAAAGAAACTTAGCTTCTATCATAATGATCAGCATGACTTTCTATATAATCACGTTTAATAATTTTAATAGGTGGACAACAAACTCTAATTAATGACTAGTTTATGTGTTTAATAGATGAAGATAACTAGTATAGTAGTAATCTCTGTATCAGTAAACCTAAACATACACAAGGAAAAAAAACTATAATCCTCGAATACACCAACCCAACCACACTTGATGGTGAAACTATGGAAGAGGTGGAGAGTTCCATGTATCTGGATAGTAACGTCGATGAACGTGGAGGATCTGATGAAGACATAAAGGCGAGGATTGGCAAAGTAAGGATATAATTCCTATAGTTCATCAACAACTGTCAATCAAACTCAATCTTCAATACGAACGTCAAGACAGTTCTACTGCATGAAGCTAAAACTTCGAGAACTACTACAACCGTCGTCAAAATAGTACAAATATTTATAAACAATTGTCTACGAAAGATATTGATTATCAGTTGAGCGGATAATATCAACAACAACATACTGTGAGAGAGATCAAACCAATTTCCAACTGAAGAGGAAATTGACAAAAGATGATGGAAGTGGATAGGATACACAATGAAAAAATCATCAAACTCTACCATGAGGCAAGCCCTAACTTAGAATCATAAAGGGAAACATAAAAGGAAAAGGCCGAAGAACACACTGCCTTGAGAATCGGGAGAAGATACGAAGAGAACGAAGTGCAACTGGAAAGGCTTGCACAAGACAGAGTTGGATGGATAATGCTGGTGGGTGGCCTATCCTCGTCCATGTGGCGTAACAGGCGTACATATCTAAGCTTTTTGTTTAACTGCATATCTACATAAACATTTAAACAGTTGGTTATTAAAAAAGAGAATACATAAGTTTTAGTAAACTTGAACATTCTGATGAAGTTTTGTTCTTTGAGATGGATAGTTTGGTCGTGGAGCTTCCATCGTCCTTCTGAACGACATCATCAGCACAAACTTCGGGTGATGATGTCGTTCAGAAGGACGATGGAAGCTTCACGACCAAACCATCCAGCTCAGAGAATAAAACTCCATCAGAATCATCTACCTAAGCTACAAATCTTCTCCATCAACAGAAAAAAATTTTTACATTTCTTACATTATCATGAACTGAACCTATAAATTATAATCATTTAAATGATCAATTTATTTTATTGATTATAATTACACAGAGCAAGTTTTGTCTAATTTCTAAGAATAATTCTCCCTTTCTCTATTAGTCTATCCCACAGTTGAATTCAAATCCGCCTGTAGCTCCTCTGGGGGTTACTGCCGGTCCCAAGCCCGGGTAAAGGAGGAGGGTTGGGCATGGGGTTAGCGACCCCATCCCGTAGAAAATCAACTCGCTAAAAAACGCTAACCAGAAAAAATCATTCAAACCATTTAAACTCTGCCCTGGGAGTAGAAGGAATAATTATGATGTCTCATGATGAAAACCGAGTTCCTTCGGAAGTCATGAGGCCGATGCATCTTCTTACAACCAGAGCGACAATTTTTATAGGTACATGGAATGTTCGAACAATGTGGGAGACCGGAAGAGTCTTCCAAATTGCTTCAGAAATGAGAAAATACAACCTGGAGGTTCTTGGAATCAGCGAAACACATTGGACACAGGTTGGATAACAACGACTGTCTTCAGGAGAACTTCTGTTATACTCCGGTCATGAAGAAGAAAATGCCCCACATACACAAGGAGTTGCATTGATGCTGTCCAGAAAAGCACAAAATGCACTTATAGGATGGGAATCTCATGGACCGAGGATCATCAAAGCCTCCTTCAAAACAAAGAGAGAGGGCATTACAATGAACGTCATCCAATGCTATGCGCCTACCAACGACTACGATGAAGGCGCTAAAGACCAATTCTACGACAGGTTGCAGTCGATCTTCGAGAAGTGCCCAACCAAGGACCTGACCATTCTGATGGGAGATCTCAATACCAAGGTTGGAAAGGACAACACTGGATACGAAGACGTCATGGGACAACATGGACTGGGAGAAAGGAACGAAAATGGTGAGAGATTTGCAAACCTATGTGTCTTCATTAAACTAGTCATAGGTGGCACCATATTTCCACACAAAAACATACACAAAGCCACTTGGATTTCACCGGATCACACTACACAGAATCAAGTCGACCATATCTGCATCAACATAAAGTTCAGGAGGACGATGGAAGATGTGAGAACCAGGAGAGCAGCTGATATAGCATCCGATCATCATTTGCTGGTCACCACGATAAAACTAAAACTTAAGAAGCACTGGACAACGGTGCGGACAACATCACAAAAGTTTAATACGGCCTTTCTTCGAGATGCTGACAAACTCAACAAATTCAACATAGCCCTCAGCAACAGGTTCCAGGCCTTTCATGATCTACTCAATGG